TAGAAACATTAGAGAGGTCCAACAGGCAGTAAATAAAGATTGGAACCAGCTCTCAAAGCAAGATTGGCAGAATTTAGTGGCAAGTTGCAGGAGACAATGTGAAGCTGTTGTTCAAAACCAGGGAAAGCACACCCAATATTTATTGCATAATAGACGATTAATCATCTATTATCCACACTCTTCTTTTATTAAAACTAATTCTTAGATGATCGAACTTTATTTTTTCATAATAAGCTGTTTTAATCAGCACGTTCTTTTTGCTGTGTGAGCATACTTTTTTGACACATGGTTTGGCATATTTTAGTACCGTTTGGTTAATAAAGTCATTTTGATTATTACAATAAGCTGTGTGGTGTATTTCATTAACCGAAATATTCAATTTGAATAAGTTATTTGTAAAATATGAAAGAAATATGCATAATCCCACCAACAAATGAAATAATGATCATGATAAAAGAAACTTTTGAAAAAATCGGGGTGTTGCTTAACTTATGAGCATCAGTGTATTGGAAAAATCCACAGTGAATTGTTCACTGGTGATGGGTGGTGATGGTGGCCGGAGATTCCAGTCCCCACGCCTGTGTCACCGGGCCCTGGGAGACATCCCCTCAGCACTGACAAGGCCTTTACGCAGGTGGCACCAAACACTGCATGTTCTTGCCAAGAAGCACAAACTTCCCAAGATGGCATAACAACAGTTGTCCTGCAACTGCCCAAGTCCAGCACAGCAGTTAGTAAAACATACCAAATTCACTATGGCAACAACACTTTGTTGATGAAGGGTTACAGAGATGGTATCGGCTCAGTAAAGTAATCATCTAAATTCCAATCTGCCACAACCTCGAAAAATATCAACCTAAGTGTTTTCTATGGTTGTAAATGTGTTGATAATTTGTGATGTCCGTAACATTTTTTTAATCATTTCATTGAAAAAAAAAAGCAATTTAATATATGAATATCAACATATTTCTGCTATCATGTTTTTCTGTATCTGCCACTTGCAAATTAGTTTATACCTCTTTATTCTTTAAGATCAGCCATCTGGTAACATTAACGCTAAACCTTTAAGAGAAAAAAAGTTGACTAACACGCTGAGGTGCAGTAGACAGATATAGAATGATATATCATTTAGATATAGACAGATATATAATTTATGGTTTAAAAAAAGTTGAAACATCAAAATTGATGCAAAATGAACAATAATCCAAAGAACAATTTACAGAATAGTATGCTCACGCTGTTTCACAATTAGGGGTACAAAATAGGGGTCACATTGAGAGAAAAATAAACTTTGATGCATTTGTTTAACTTTGTAACAGATAAAAAGAATAACATCTTTTAAGTTAAAACTATGACATCCAACATTTTTAGAACACAATATTAATTATTTTTGTGTTACGTTCAAATTCACAGAACGCCTCTTAGGCTATGATTTGGGGGTACGGACACTACACATTCAAGTAACTGATGCTTTTTTAACTGAAATATCATATTGTTTACCAATTATTTTTGCAAACATTCTAAAAATATCAAAATAAAGATATAACAACAGTACTTTAACCAAAAGCATACAAGTGCATGTATTAATCAAAATGTTTTTTGGAGAAACACCACAGCACATTTTTCAGTACATGCTGGCGTTTGGTTGTGTCATTCAGTTTTACTATCATTCACCAGACTTTAATTTAAACTTTTTCTTTCTGTTGCTTGGTCTTTATTTATTTATTTATTTATTTATTTATTTATTTATTTATTTATTTATTTATTTTTGTTTCAGTCTTGATTCACGTTTTTTGAGTATTTTCTTCTTTTTCATCTCTCGTTAATTTGCACCTCTTGCTCTGCTGTTTTCAGGATTGTTAGGTTTCTGCTTCTCCTTGACTCTCTGTCAGTATGCCTTAATTTCTTCTCTCATCTTTAGTCTTTCTTGCTGGGCCAGCCTTGGATGATTCTTCATTTTTGCTTCTCTGCTATGTTATGTGCATTCAACATCTTCCTTACGTGCTTCAGCATGACTTTTAGCTCTTTGACGTTTTATTTTTCAAATTATTTTTGATGACGTAAAAATTTCAGGTTTCCCTTTTCTTTTCCTATTTGGCTTTTGTTCATTGTCATCCATGTTTGATACTTCATCCACTGAGAGTATTATAAATATACCTCTGTTAATTATGCATGTATTGTAGTGTCCGTACCCCCTCAAAATATA